CCGCTAGCATTGCCTCCTTAATGGCTCCTGGCCTCTGGCCCCCCCCAGCCCACCCCGCACCTCCCGCTGAGGAGAGAGCCTGCTGATTGATCTCCCTGGACCCAGCTCGCTTCCAGGCTCAAAGACCTTCCGAAACCTCAACCCTCGTTTCTCACACACCCTCAGGCCTGCACGTCTCCGGCCGAGGCAGCCTTCACTCCAGCTGCCACCTCTGCCACGAATGCCCCTGCAGGCCTTGTCTTCACCACCCTCCATTTCCTGGGAAACCCAGCTCAGCGTCCTCTCCAGCGCTGGCCTTTCTGACACCCCCCCTTCCTTCCTGGCCAGGACCTTCTGGCAAGTCCTGTCCATCTGGGAGCTGGGCACCTGCTGGACCCCCCACCCCCAGCCCAGGATTCTTCTGCCTCGATGCCCTCAGAGTGGCTGCCCCTTGGGCTGGCACCTCCCTGTGGCCGTCTTCACTGGTCTGCGAAGACGTCCTTGGGTTTCCCAACGCTCGAGAGAGGGAGGCTCACTGCACGGGAGTCCCTCCATATTGCTTCCCAGAAGGCAGAGGGAGGGACCCAGGACAGACAGCCCCCCTCAGGGCCTGGGTTCAGGGGGGCATGGGGTGGAAATACTCACCGTGTTGGCTTGGGTGCGAGTGGCCTGGCATCCAAAGTGGGTGGCAATGACGGCGATGAAGAACTCCAGGATGGTGAAGATGGTAAGCACAGCCAGGTAGCCCCTGCCCACATCCTGGGACCAAAACCCACAGTATGGAGGCCTTTCCTTCGTTCCACCAGGCTGCCTCTCCACTCCCCGTGCCTTCCCAGGCCAACGTGTTCATGGGGTGTATTGGACTGGCAGGCCCTGCCAACACCCCACACTGCAAGCCCCGCCCCCCCCGGCTATGGTGCTCTCATTCTCCAAAGTTTCCCACTCTGAGGACAAACGCACCCAGTTAGTGACACCAAAATCCATGAGCAGGATGGCCGTCCCGGCAAAGGCTGCCATGGAGCTGAGGATGTTGGTTCCCAGGCTGCTCCTCACCTGCAGGAGGGAGAGACAGGAGGGGAACAGAGGAAAGAGGGAAAGGAGAGGAGGAAAGAGGAAAAGAGGCAGCAGCTCCCCTGCCAGCCGCCAACGCCCTCCCCATGGCCAAGGCGCAGTGGTTGTGGTCTCGGTAACCGCGTTTTCTTCTTCCCCTTCCCTGGGATCGCAGCAGGATGGCCCTTCTGCTGTCTCCGTGGAAGCTGCTGGGAGAAGGTTCTCTCTGGATGGGTTCCCAGCAGCCTCTTGGCTACCCCTTTGCTGTGGCTCCTCCCTCCCTGACCTGAGCGCTCTGCGGTGAGCTGTGGCTGAGGCCTGCCCCAGGGCACTGCGGACGGTACGCGGGGAGGCCCTTTGCTCTGGACATCAGGCTGGTGTGGAGTGGTGGTGAAGTCATTCCCACTAGGCACTGCAGACCCTGCTGGGACCCCAGGCTGGTGAGAGATGAGAGGGGCCAAGGGCCTGTGTTGGGGCTTGCTGAGACCTCTCTAGGGAGGTCTGGGCTTTAGGGTCCAAAGAGCACGCAGGGCAAGTGAATCTCCAGAAAGGTCCATGTGGTCTCCAGGGGCCCTCGATCCCATGCAGCCAGGTCTGATGCTTTCGACCCAGTAGCTGGGGTCTTCTGATTAAACCGCTAAAGGGGGAACCAGGCAGGCGCATGCTGGGGCCGTAGGACCTATTCAAGTGCAGAGATCGCTGACTTCTGTTTTAATGGCAGTCAGGGAGTCACTGAGACCAGAGCAGCCTGGTGGGAAATCTGGGAAATCAGTTAATTGATGAATTAATCCAGCAAGTTTTTTTTTCTTTTTTCTTTTTTTTTTTTTTTGCATGTGTTGCATGCTGGGCCCAAGGTGAGGTGTTGTGAGCACAGGGGAGAGTAGGCCAGGCCTCTCCTGCTGTTTACAGCCCCAGAGCACGCTGGCTTTGGTCATAAGCATCGGCTGAGTGCAGTCCTGCCCCTCTACAACCGCTTCTCTGCCCGGCACCCCGAATAGCTCTCAGGAATCCAATGAGGCCAATGATTCCCCGGCTGGAGCACCCACTGGCCTCCCATTGCCCCCAAAATAAATTGGGCCAACAGATGGTGTAGTGGTTACATTGTTGGTCTCCCATGGGGCTGACTGTGGTTTGAGTCCCGAACCCGGTGGCTTGAAACTCTCACCAGGCATGAGTGTGTGCATGCCCAAGATTCCAGGAGGAAAATGGAGGAGAAGGGATTGCGGTTTGGCCATCCCCTGGGGGTGATTTCCCACTTTTCCTCTCACTGTCTATATCTCTCTCTCTCTGCAGTGAGCACACATGCCCTAAGACAAAAACCTCTAAAATAAATAAATGAATTGTGGACTTGGCACATAGTCCCCGAGTCATCCCCCACTCTCTCACCTCTCCCCTCAGCTTAACTCCTTCCAACCTGCCTCTTCTTTTCCGCGATCCAGTGCCAGACGCCTGTCCTGAGTGCGTTTAATCTCTGGGCTGGACTCTTCCAAGGCTGAACTGTGAAGCATCGACTTCGGAGATACCCACCAAGAGACCCCAGGCTTCTGAGCGGAGCAGAATGACTCACGTTGCCCTGCCTGCTTCCAGCAGTGCTCACTCTGTAACAGTCGTATCTGCCAGTCTGGTGGTGGCGTCTTACCAGACACTACTGTGTAAGCTCTCCACGGTCACGGTCTCCGAGCCTGGCGCGACGCTGACACCCCTGCAGATGGCGCCAGATCCACCCTCCCACCCCCATACCACCCCCAGTGCCCCAGTGCCTTTCTCCACCAAATCTCTTTCTATTAATACCTCCTACCCTGACCTGTGCCCTGGTCCAGTGGACACATGCCTGGTTTCCACAGCAATTCTGTGCACACGCCCCTGTGCATTCTCCCGTGGAACCCTCGGCATCTCTAAGCCCTAGCTGCCACCGAGGCCCAGCATGGACACCTGCTCTTCTTGTATGGCTTCTCTCTCTGCATGACTATGCGCGCTGCATCTGTGGGCTTGCACTTTCTTCCTAGACCGTACGTGGAGTATCCTGGCTGCTCCTCACCTATACATGGGCACATCTGTGCCCGGTCTGCCTGGACATGGCCCTTCCCCTGCATGTAGCAGGCCCCCAGGAAATGCTGGCTGAATGAGAGGACAGGAGGCACAGCCAAGTGGAATCTGGCTGTGGCTGGTCTCGCCTCCCCTGGCCCCCCCACTCCACTCAGACTTACCAGGCAGCTGGTGTGATTCCTCTCTGCTGCCACTGAGAGGGACCCAGAGATGATAAACTGTGGGGAAGAGGGGGCCCAGTGAGGCTTTGGTGGGGACAGTGGACAGGGCAGCCACAGCTGTACTCCGTCCAGAGGTCACAGGTACCAGGGAGAGGACAGAGCAGCTTCTGACCAAGCACCGTGGGGTCTCTCTGCACGGGTGTCCCCTGGTTGCAAGGCCACCTTATCCAGGGAACTAGGGCTGCAGTCTACAAGGGCTTCCACATCGTCAGATCCTCACAGGGAAGGCGCTGTTCCTCGAATCACGCAGTCATTAAACATTTAGCACGTGGCAATTGTATGCCAAGAACATAGCGGAGTTGAGTAAGACAGACACAACCTCTGCTCTCACAGGGCTTGTACAACTGGGGAGACTGACACCCCAGAAATACGCTAGGAGGGAGAGCACGGCTACTGTGGTTTAAGAGTGACAATGACGCGATCAGAAGTTGCTGGGGCTACTTGGGGTCAGGTGTGGGGGTGGGGAGAGTCAGGGGTGGCCTCTTTGCACTGAGATGCCAACGAGAGGACACAGGGCACTGGAATGTGAGGGTGAACCCTCCAGAGAGGGTTCCTGGTGGGCCTGTGTCACGCACCGGGCAGTGGCTTCACTCACACAGTGTATCGGGCTGGCCCAGGGACTGGCCCAGCTGGGAGGGCCATGGCCGAGGCACTGCACCTCTTCTGGGCCTCATGCTTTGCAGGCCTGGCAGCCTGAACGTCTGCACTCGGCTGCCAACTGGAGAGGCCTCTGGCTGGCGGGAGCAGGTGGAGGCCTGGGGTCACAGGGAGACAGCGAGGACCAGGAGAACCGTGACGGCGGTCCAGGCGGTGCAGTGGAGGCAGGGAGAAGCAAACCAACTGGAGCTATGCTTTGGGGAGCTGATGTGAGGGTGGGAAGAGAAGGGTCTGGGTGAATCTTGGGGTGTTTTCGGCTTTGACATCGGCAGGTGCAGGTGCCATTTGTTGAGGTGGGGAAGAAAGGCTGGGGGAGAAGCGGGGCTGGGAACAGGGTGGAACCAAGTTTTGATGTACCAGGAGTTGCCTTCTCCAGTGGAGCCATAGCGCCCGCAGTCAGATTTAGGGCCCAGCTCTCAGGGCTGGAGGCAGATGTCACTTTCTGTAGACAATGAAGCGGAGGTCCCCCCTCCCCGCCTAGGCTGTGGCTTACCCAGAGCCCCACAGGGAAGGAGCCACACCCCGGCTGGAGCCACACCCTGGCCCTTTTACCATTTTCCTTCGGTACCAAGTTATCCTCCCTTCCTGGAATTCTGGGAATTTTTAACTAAGGAGTCCTTCGAAGAAGGAACCTGAGAAAAGGTATGAGCCCTCTTTCTAGAAAACACATGCATAATAACACGTGCACTTCGAGGGGTCACAGAGGTCTGTGATGTGAAGATCCAACCGACTGATTAAATGTCGGTGTCCACATAGGCCTGCCAGGGGCTCCTCGCCCTCATGTCCCACCTGAGACTGAGAAGAAGATCCCACCCCCTCCCGCTTAGCTTCCACCATTACTTTTTTCTAAAGGAAGAGGAAGAGAGGGGAGGAGAGAAGGGGAGGGAGAGAGGGGGACGTGGGTATTTTGGGGCAGGGTCTCGCAGTCTTCCTTCTCCAGCCTCCGGGTGAGCTAGGCTCACAGGGCACGCTCAGGTCAGCCTGGAAGCGAGTCCAGGCCTCCTGTGCAGTGGTGTGGCTGAGCCCAGCCACCCTGTCGGAAATCCTTACTGGGCATAGTTCATGACAAAGCGAGGCAGGAGGGGGGCCAGGAAGAAACAGATACCCTACATCTCCGTGTTGAGATCCCCCTTAGACTCTCCCACGTGCCAACATTTCCCCCAATTTCTGGCCATTGTGAACCATGTAGAGGGCCAGACCATGTCCCCAGGTGTGGCCAGGCGACCATCTTGCTCAAGTGGTCGCTTCTCTGGGCCCCACTTTTGGGGGTTTTGAGCTCTTGCTGGAGAGAGCCTGGGCAGGGAAGAAAGTCGTTGTGCCTGGGTTCTGAGCCCACCACTCACTCCGTGGAAGCCCTCTCATGAAACTCTCTGGCTCTCTCTAAGAAGGGAAGGTTGCAATGACTGACACCACTTGGGGCTGAAGTTCAGGGTTAGTAATCAGCTCCCACAGGCACTGGGTCTTGATTTCTTCAGCAAACTGTGGTGGGCAGGGGCAGATGGATGAACTGGAGTTTTAGATGAGAAAGTTGAGGCTTGAGAGTCAGCGACTCCATGGCAACACAAGCTGGATGAGACCCACCGGGGTAGCTGCTGTGGCTCTGCCGACAGGTTGGTAAAGGGCCATCCGTGGGGTTCGTGCTGTAAGGGATTTCCCAGCAGGGCTGGGCGGCCAGCTTGGCCCGGGTAATGGTCAAAGAAATGGGCTCGAGACTTAAAGCTGGTCAGACCCGAGGGGGCCCACAAACAGGGGGGCTGAAAGGCTTCCGTAGGCGGGGTTCGGCTGAGGGGTTCGAGTCAGGCCCTCACTCCCTTTATCCCATGTTTTTGGCATCCTTCCCTGGCTGCTTGCTAAGCTAAGTGAGGTCAGGCTGAGGGTTATGACGAAGGTTTGGGTCAGGAGTCCCAGTGTTCCCAGGCCCCCACGTGGAAGGGGTGTGCCCAGGAATGGGGTGGGAAGGTGAGCCTGTTAAGTACCCTAGAGGGCCCTGGGCACTCACGCAGGCTCCTCCCCAGAAGGGGACGCCGCCCTCGATGAAGAGCATTCCCACGTGACCGCGGCGGACCATGAGCAGCACGCTGCCGAAGCCCAGGTGGATGAGGCCGATGAGGATCTGCACCGTCTGTGGGTAGGAGCGAGATCAGAGCTGGGCGAGCGGGCGCGGCCGGCTCCACCGCGCCCCCTGCCGGCCTCGGAGCAGAGCGCCGACCGGCCCCCCTTCCCAGTTTCCTAACTGCGACGTCAGGAAATAAACTCAGGTTCCCTTCTTATGAGGCAGCATTGTTATAACAATCAGAAAAGACGGTTTTAAAAATAAAATCGGTGCCCGCAGCCTACGGGACCCACAGCCTACGGGACCTTCTGCTTTGTGCTCTGATTCGTGGTTCTCAAGCATGGCCGCCTGCTTTCTTAGGCCTGAGTTCAAAGCCTCCAACCTTTGCTATACCGAATGCCTCCTCTGGTCCTTCTGCATCCCTACAGCTGGCGGGGGAGACTCCTGGAGCATCGCTGTCCGTCCAGTGTCTCTCGCTGACCAGCCCAGTGTGTGCTGTGACGCCTGCTGCCAGATGAAACCTTAATGTAGGTTTCTTTTACTTAAAAACAAACAAACAAACAAAAAAACCCCATTTTTTTTCTGTCAGTTGGTTTACCAGCACCCCAAGGTGGGGACAGATGGATTCTGGTAAGTTCTGCCACATTACTTTCCTAATGTTTTTTGTAACGATTGAGTTCTGCAATGGAGTGGGAAAAAGGCGTTGAAAATCAGAGAGTCCAGCCTCTGCCTGGCTCAGGAGCTCCTTCCAAACCACTCACCGACTCCTTCACAACCAGTGTTAGCCAGCGTGGTCCGTTTATGGGTGGTTCTGTTCTGTCTGGGAACCATGTGTTCTCGGGGCCGTGTGCATGCCCAGAGGGTGGACATGGCCATGGCCCCTTGAACCTTTGCTTCGTTCTATGGCTGCCTGTCTTCCATCTTTTCTCCATCCAGTGTGCCAGGGCACCTGCTGCCAATGCAGCTGTCCTTCTGGGTGTTCCTCTCTGCTACACGCCTGCTCCTGCCACTGCCACCACCACTGCGACTGCTCCTCGCGAAATAGCAGCGGTCACTTATGGAACGCCTGTCTGCACCAATCCCGCTGGCTATTTTACAGATTTCATCCTGATGGGATAAGGTAGGTATTACTATCCCGGCTTTGGAGATGAGAAAGTCCGTTCTCAGGGGTGCCGAGTAGCTTGCCCACGGTCTCCCAGCTATGAACTGGCATGCCAGCTAACTCTAAAGCCAGTCTTCCTCTTACCGGGTGATACCCCCTAACATTTATTTCTATTTTCCACATTTTATGTTTTTTGTCTTGTCAAATTTGTTTTCGTCTTGTCTAATTCCTCTGGGGGGGAAGGTCATCAGTTGTCAGGGTCTTCTCCGGGGTTTCAGGATGCCAGAAATTGATGACCTTATCGGTTTACTGTCCCTAATCCTTCATGCACCAGGAGACTCGCTGCAGCTTTTAGAGTAGAATTCTAAACTCCAGAGTGTTTGAGCCAAATGTCATGGGTGCCAGAAAGCAGCAGAGTTGAAAGTAAAGCTTTATGGTCAGTCCATCTCAGGCTACGGGATGCCACCTACCAGCTGAGCAGGCTTGGGCTAGTGCCGTAGCTTTAGCAAGCTCCAGCTTCCTCATGTGTCCAGTGGGAGCGGTGATCCCTGTCACACGGTGGTGCTGAGAATCTAAGGAGACAACGCGTGCAAATTCCTTGCACAGTGCATGCCCTTCTCAGAGACATCTAACTAACAGGACCCGTCATTATCACCACTGTCTAAGCAGTGTGCTGTTTTCATCTTCCACGTGGAGAAACGGAGGGCAACAGACACACTGAAGAATGTGTGTGTGTGTGTGTGTGTGTGTGTGTGTATTCAGGAGGTCATTAACTTGTCTTCCTACTTTGAATTCCTATGTAGCAAACTGCCACCTAGCTTCGTTCATAGGTAAAGCACTACCTACCTTAGGGATGTCTGTTTTATAACAAATAGCTGCATTTGTTTTAGAACAAATAGTTGCATGTCAGCCAATCCCAAACAGCTGAGCTTCAACCAATCACATGTGGCCAACTGATCAATTAGACCATGCCCAAATAAGGCAGCCATCTAGCTGTAGCCAATCAGGGGAGTTCTCTATGTTCAACCTATAAAAGCTTGCTGCTTTCATTGGCGGGGAGGGCGCTGTGAGACTTTTCCGGTTTTAAGTGCTGCCCAATTCATCAATGATTTTGTGCTGATTTTTTTTTTCTTTTCTTCCTTTTTTTGCTATTCAATTTGTTTAAGGTTTGTTTTATTTATTTATTTTCTTTCTTTTTAAGCAATAGACAATGGGGCCAGCAGGTTAAGGCTAGTGGTTAAGGTGGTTAAGGTGCTGGACTCCCACAGGGTCAACCAGTTTGAGTACTGGACCTGGAAGCTTGAAAACCATGCTGGACACATGTGCCTGCAAGTCCAGAATCCCAGGGGGAGACCTGATTGCTGTGTGGCCATCCCCTCTAGAGGGTGAGTTGCCACTTTCCCTCTCACTGTCTCTCTCTGTTTCTCTCCAGGGAGTGCACACGCCCTATGACAAAAAACTTCAAAAAAAAAAAAAAAAAGACACATACACAAACTTATATCTAACTTTCTCAGAGACCAATATCTCAAAGCCACCTAAGGTTGGAAAAGAGTTTAGAGGCATCTTTCACGATCTGTCAGCCCTACAGGAGCCGGCTCTCACCTACCACTCCAAGTCTACCTCATCTCCCGCCTTCCCCCATCCATGGCAACTGTCTGCTTCCTTGAAAAAGCCCACACTCATGCCTACCTCAAGGTCTTTGCACTTGCTGTTCCCTCTACCTGGTGAGCTGTTCCCACCACCAGGTCTTCCCTTGGTTGACTTCAACCTCACATCTAGGTTTTCGCTTACATGTTACCTCCCCGGAGAGAACTTCCTGTCTGCCCTTGCTAGTCCTGCCCCACTTCCGTTCACCATTTTCAGCCTCACTGCCCTTTTGGGAATTATCTTAGTCATTTGTTTGTTCTCCGTGGGCTTCCTGGGGGAAGAGGCCTTGTCTATCCGGTGCATGACAACTCTGGAGTCCTTGTGAAGTATTTGTCAGCAGCCAGCTCCCTGCTTCAAAGTGCCCGTGAACACTTCAGTGCTGGGCTGCTCGCTGCCTGACTGGTGCCTGTGCCTCAGGTCATGTGGAGAGGTGGTCTTACCCCTAAGGCTTTGGGCTCTCCTGTCAGGAATGTCTCCAGGGGCCGTAGGTCAGGTGGCTGGGTGGCTCTTGGCGTCTGCACCCCCAGGGGTGGCTCCTCGAACTGCATTATCCCTGGGGGCTGGCACATGGAGGTAGGCAGAATGGCAGAAGGCGGGCGGAGGCCACTGGCGTTGCTGGGCGGGATGACGACAAACACCCCATTGCTGGCCGGAGCTGCAGACATTGTGCTCAGGAGGGCTGGGAAACAAAGGCTCGAGAGATAGTAACAATGATGATGATTACACATTTGCATAAGATTATTAGCTTTTAAACAACCTTCCTCCCTGCCTTGCTTCTGTAGCCCAGTGAGGATGGCACCAAGATCCTTGATTGGAGTTGGGGAAACTGAGACTGAGAGAAGCAGGCAAGGAGGTCTGAGGCCCAGCTCTAGGCAGAATAAAGTTGAGACCTGAACTCTGGTCTCTGACTTCAGACGCCCTGCCCTTGAACTCTGCTACATTCTGTGGAAAGGAACTTTAAGAGGTCCTTAACCATCTCTGTTTCCCCAGAGAGGGCAACTGATTTGCCTAAAGACATACAGCTAGTGCAAGGCAGAGCAGCCACTTCTTTGTCCCCTCGACCAGGCTCACCGTCCACTTTCTGCCTCTCAGCCTGTGGCTACTGGCTGATGTTTCCCCTGGCTGATATTCCACTGTAGGAAGCTTTCTATTTGCACCCTGAGCAACTGCCGTTAATGTGCCCAAGATATGCATGAATTGTGCAAGCTTTAGGTGTGGCTGGCTGGAGCTAACACTTTGGGTGTCAGGAGATGAGTTTACTAGAAACAGCAGAATGACGATCTGCCTGATTATGTAACATTAAACATAGCCGTCCTCCTTGTCAACATCTGTGGGTGAAGAGTTCAGCAG